TTAGCAACAAAGGGAAGCAACTCATACCTAGCTCTTTCGACCGATTAATTAATTCAAATAACTGTTTATCAATAGATAACATACTTAAAATACTCAAGTATTTCAAATTAATGACACACTATTTCTGGACTGGGCTCATGTCTATCATGCGCTTATCTTTAGCATGGAGATCTAACAGTTGAACACGTTCAACTCACTTGTACTTACACCGCCCTCAATGTCTGGGTACCTCTGATATATTTCCGAAGTGATTTGCCTGACGTTGTCTGGAGGTTCTAGAACTGTGAAATTCCCGACGTTTTCCGAGTGTAATACCAAAGCGCCGTGGGGACAAAAAGGACCATTAGTTCCTTGGTTCAAGGATTAACGGTAATCCGTTGTTGGCCAAAGTTGGAAGTCAAGTCGGGGGTTTCTCGAAGAGTGAGCGTTGGGCAGGGGGCGACATCTCCTGAGACGTTTACTGTTGCTATTCCAGAACACGGTCAGTCTGTGGACATTAACGTGATGCTGCTCCGATAGCTCGAGTGAAGTTTAGAGAATGAGTGCAGTTTAACGTCGCTGTGTTTAATTAATTTGTATGGTTTGTAAGTTATCGAGTCGGAACAGAGCAAAACCGGTGATCGATAGCTTGAACACAGATCCGCGGAGCACGAACGACACAATATACACCAGGTGATATATAGTATACTGTAAGTTTAATTGTAAACGACCTGTTCTCTACAATGCATTTCCATTTGCAAATTTCGTGGCTCGTCACAAGCAGCCTGAGGTCGAAGTTTAAAATGTTCACTTAATGAAATCCACAATTGGAAACGTCAAGGCTCAATAGAGGTCTTACTGCACATCCACACCCACAGCTCCTATCGCACACATGCACACGCATACGTACCCAGCTACCCCTTCCACTACAACGTATGTGCTCCAAAGAGCTACTTCTTTCACAGGGGCGGTGGGGTAGCCTTGTGGATAAAGCGTGGGCTCGTCACGCCGAAGACCCGGGTTCTATTCCCCACATGGGTACAATGTGTGAAGCCCATTTCTGGTGTCCCCCGCTGTGATGTTGCTGGAATATTGCTAAAAGCGGCGTAAAACCAAACTCAGTCAGTCAGTACTTCTTTCACATTTCACGGTATGCGTACATCTGTGAAGTCGATTGATGTATTCACACTTGCAAGTATTCCACACATGTTTTTACACATTACACACGTTACTGTATTAGATGGTTGCGACATATTATGGATCTTGTGGTTTGCCTAACGCCGCACACAGCAATATCCTAGTAATGGCGGAGGTGTGTAAATTATCGAGCCTGGGCAAGGCAATCCAGTGATTGACATCATGAGCGACGATCATTGGAATATCATGACTCACATCAACCAAGTCAGCATGCCTGACAAACGCAATTAAAGGGGTTGATTGCAGTTCGCGTACGCATTGACATGTAGTAAGTAAGTTACGTAGTCACGCTGGTATCTACGGTCCGTTTGGTTCAAAAGCGGACCGATGAATTACAATCTAACTCGAAAACTAATAAACATAAAATAGTCAATGAAACGCTGATCATAATCAAAACATCATACCCACTCTGTGAGGTTTTTGCAGAATTTTTGTCCTAAAATTAAAAAAGTTGTTTTTCAAACTATCATTAAAGATTGACACAGTTCACTGTTTGTTACGAGGGAGGAGTGCAGAGAAAGGGACAGCCAGGTGTTCGAGAAGCACGTTCACAGACAAAGTTATATATTCATTAACCTGTGCTGTGCCGTCTCCATCCGTTCTCGAACACCTGGCTGTCCCTTTCTCTGCACTCCTCCCTCGTAACAAATAGTGAACTGTGTCAATATTTTAATGATAGATTGTTAAACAACTTTTTTATTTTTAGGACAAAAATTCTGCAAAAACCTCACAGAGTGGGTATGATGTTTTCATTATGATCAGCGTTTCATTGAGTATTTTATGTTTATTAGTTTTCGAGTTAGATTGCAATTCATCGGTCCGCTTTTGAGCCAAACGGACTATAGTTATCGCATGTATTCATACACACACGAAGTGAGCGTATATATAAATTCACACATGTATGAAGACAAAATAAAATAAGTTAATTAGGTACAAATATGCCTCCACACACTTATGTACGCATTCACATGTATATATGCAACTACGTATTCACACATGTAAATGGTCAACTACATATTAGCACATGTATGAAGTCAGGTACGTATTCGCACCTGCATTGAGTCAACAACGCATTCATACATTTATATAATTAACTCCGCATTTCACATGTATACATGTATATTCAACTACGTATTCACATACCTATATAGTCAACGACGTATTCACATATGTACCGAGTAAACTACGTATTCACGCATGTATATAGGCAACTACGTATTCACGTATGCACATAGTAAACTACATATTCACATATGTATATAGTCTGATACGTATTCACACAGCCATATAGTCAACTTCGCATTCACAAATGTATACTGTCAACTACGCATTCACAAATGTATACTGTCAACTACGCATTCACAAATGTATATTTTCAACAACGTGTTCACATATGGACACAGTAAACCACATATTCACACATGTATATGGTCAACAGCGTATTCTCACATCTATATGGTCAACTCAGCATTACACATGTATATACCCGTGAAGATCTGGGTGTGAATGGATCTTCAGTAACCCATACTTGTCGTAACATGCGACTAACGGGATCGGGTGGTCAGGCTCGCTGACTTGGTTGACATATGCCATCGTATCCCAATTCCCAGGTCGGCGTTCATGCTGTTGATCAATGGATTGTCAACGACGTATCCACACATGTATATAGTCAACAACGTATTCACAAATATATATAGTCAGCTACGTATTCACACATGTCTATAGTCAAGGTATATATTCACATATACATGGAAACAACGTACAGTACAAAAATATGAGTCAATGAAATCATTTCAAAGAAATGTACGCCAAGAACCTTTTGCCAAAAACAAAAGCATCTACAACTCTACCACAACCTCTTCAACTAGTACCAATATTTACTGCTACAATTGCTTCTACTACTGCTGCTGTTGCAACTGCTACTGCTAGTACTACTACTACTACTACTACTACTACTACTACTACTACTACTACTACTACTGCTGCTGCTGCTGCTGCTGCTACTACTACTACTATTACTACTACTGCTACTACTACTACTGCTACTACTACTACTACTACTACTACTACTACTACTACTACTACTACTACATTGTACTACTGCTGCTGCTGCAACTGCTAATGCTACCGTTACCACTACTGCTACTGCTACTGCCTACTACTGCTGCTACTGCTACTACTTCTGCTTCTTCTACTACTACTTACTACTGCTAATCATACTGTTGCTTTTGCTACCAGTACAAAACCCGCCAGTTCAACGGATTCGTATGATCATCGTATGAGCAGTGGGTATAGTTTTACGACGCATTTAGCAATACTCCAGCAATACTCCAGCCATATCACAGCGGGATACACCGGTCGTCACCATGTCCTCGGAGCGATGATCCACCTCTCTATAGTGAGATGAAGTCATCACATGCTAAATGTGAGGTGAGGTAAAATTGGGTTTAACGTCGTGCTTGAGAATAGTTCGCTCATATGACGACGTGCATGCGTGTGTATGTGTATGTGCGGCTGCTTGCACTAGCCCAGACTAAAGCTGGTTTTATAGTGCTTGCCCACTGAGATACCATACCGCAGTGAAGCATGAATACCCCACTCAGACTGTCTCCGAGCCGACCAGTCCTTGCTGTGCCCATTAATGCCGGGGCGCCAGGCAGGGACCAACAAGTACCATATTATAACGTCTTTTGGTATGACGCGGTCGGAGATCGAACCCGCGGCCTTCCGCTCTCCCACATGTTAAATACTGGGACAGTGCGGTAGCCCACTGGTGAGTAGACAGAATGTTAGCTGTTCCGTGATTCCCAGGTAAACCCTATTGCATAACGAACACAATGCTCTACACTGACAAATTACATCTATAAAGACTCAAATGTCAGGATCCGGGCAAACCAGTGGTTGATATTATGCTCAACGTCCGGGTACAATTACTCTCAGTCAACCATCCCACCGACCCTGACAGCCCAAGTCCAACACCACAATAGTGAGTGCGTTTAGTTTTGCGCTGCACTCAGCAATATTCCAATATATGACGGCAATCTGTAAATAATCGATCAACAGCATGAACATCGATCTACGACTTGGGATACGATGACGTGTGTCAATCAAGTCAGCGAGCCTGACCACCCGATCCCGTTAGTTGCCTCTTACAACAAGCATGGGTTAATGAAGATCAATTATATACCGGATCTTCACGGGAGCAACACCACAATAAGACAGAAGATCCTAACACAGTCTATCCAAGCTAGTCCAAAACATAATTAGGGTTAAAAAACAGCACTGGGTCGTTTTATAATCTGTTTTAGCCTCAGGTGGACTCAATCCATCCCCCGGCTGGACCAAAGTGGCCTGCCGGATCACCGTGTGAATAACCAGGGAGACTATATAAGGTTGTAGAGTATCCCTGGAATAACCCACTGTTTGAAGCGAGCACACATTTCCTTCTCTTTTCACTTTATGATAGTTTTTGACATTTTCCAGAAAAGAGATATTGTCAAAAGAGTCACTGAACAGTTGTTATCCCACGTGAAGTATATCGTTAACGGTGTTTGGTGAGGTAAGCGGAGAGCTTAAAACTTCGCGGAAGCGTATGGTGCAAGGTGATGAAAAAGGGAGACAGGTGCGCTGTAAGGACGTTTACCTATCTATTATAAAGATTACGCAACAGACAGGAAATCCGGGAGTTACAATACTAATTTAGTGTATTTATAGGTTTTGAGATAAGATTTTATGGGAATTATGGCCTATTTCTTGTCAAACTTTAATTAGGAAATTAATTTAAAATGTCACGCTGTATATCTCACGGGCATTGAAGTGCTTACCTTTCTCTACTGTAAGCAAACAGGTCCAATACTCCAGTCCGTCCAGAGGGCACACAGCACCGACCTGCGCACTATCAGAATCCAAATGAGCCCCACAGCCTCGCTTATCTATATTTATAATCTCAAACTGATAAAAGGTCCGGCTCTTCTTGCATTTATCTTCAAATTTCTTGGTTGAGAGATTTCTTTTAAATCCCTTCGTAACCGCGTTGGGCTTGCCCGTCCACATGCCATGCTTGCTGGGAGCGCGTGCTGCGATCCTGTCTCAGTGCTTGTCACGGGAGCGAGGGTCGGGAGGGAACGGAGTGTTGAAGCAGTTGCTCTGAGCTGTAGAAGCGTGGAGAGAGATGGTCACGACGTCAGGGGGACTCTACCCTATCACTGGGTTAAAGACCTGTGAGGTGTACACACACATCACGGCTTTTGTACGAAGTACGGCTATACACACTACACGATACACGATGTATGAGGCTGTACACACACTTGGCAGGATATATACTACGTATAAGAGCTGTTAGGTTATACACACTACACACATCATGTGTGTAAATACACGATGTATGAGGCTGTCACACAACTGACAGGATATATACTACGTATAAGATCTGTTAGGTTATACACACAGCATGTGTGTAAATACACGATGTATGAGACTGTCACACAACTGACAGGATATATACTACGTATAAGAGCTGTTAGGTTATACACACTTCACACAGCATGTGTGTAAATACACGATGTATGAGGCTGTCACACAACTGACAGGATATATACTACGTATAAGAGCTGTTAGGTTATACACACTACACACAGCATGTGTGTAAATACACGATGTGTGAGGCTGTACACACACTTGGCAGGATATATACTACGTATAAGAGCTGTTAGGTTATACACACTACACACAGCATGTGTGTAAATACACAATGTATGAGACTGTCACACAATTGGCAGGATATATACTACGTATAAGAGCTGTTAGGTAATACACTCTACCAACAGCATGTGTGCAAATACACGATGTATGAGACTGTCACACAATTGGCAGGATATATACTACGTATAAGAGCTGTTAGGTTATACACACTACACACAGCATGTGTGTAAATACACAATGTATGAGGCTGTCACACACCTGGCAGGATATATACTACATATAAGAGTTGTTAGGTTATACACACTATTTATTACAGAATTTGTGTAAATAACGATGTGTGAGACTGTAAACACAACTGGCAGGATATATACTACGTATAAGAGCTGCTAGGTTATACACACTACACACAGCATGTGTGTAAATACACGTTGTGTGAGACTGTACACACAACTGACACGATATAAGCTACGTATAAGAGCTGTTAGGTTATACACACTTTTTTATTACAGAATTTGTGTAAATACACGATGTGTGAGGCTGTACACACAACTGGCAGGATATATGCTACGCATAAGAGCTGTTAGGTTATATACACACAGCATGTGTGTAAATACACGATGTGTGAGGCTGTACACACAACTGGCAGGATATATACTACGCATAAGAGCTGTTAGGTTATGCACACTACACACAGCATGTGTGTAAATACACGATGTGTGAGACTGTTAACATAATTTACATGATAAACACATAGGACACCTATGTATAAGAGCTGTTAGGTTATACACACTATTTATTAAAGCATGTGTGTAAATACACGATGTGTGAGGCTGTACACACAACCAAAGCATGTGTGTAAAGTGACTATTAAACCCAGCACACTCACTAATTGTTTAACATCTGTACGAGAGTATACTGTGGTGTACACCTCTCATGGGGCTGTCCATACAGACCACCTAAGGGCATTTAACACCTAGTTTCAACATGGTATGTCAGTACAATAACATAAAATACATACCACTCAATCTCACCTCACCTCACCTCACCTCACCTCACCTTAAAATATCGCATTATGACAAGCAGCCCCTTATCAATATATATATTGAGTAGCTCAATAAATAAACTAATGTGGGATTTACTGGAGGGAGAATTCATCTGCTCGATTAACTTCGGCTTTTACGACAAGCAATGGATATATAATTTCAATATAATTCAAATCAACACTGGAACGAGTGAAAATGTTGGATGAGTGAGTGAGTAAGGTTTTGCGCCGTTTTAGTAATATGCCAGCAATATTCCAGCAATATCATGGCGGGGGACACCCGAAATGGACTTCCAACAGTGTACCCATGTGGAGGATCGAACCCGGGTGTTCAGCGTGACGATCGAACGCTTTAACCAGTTAGCTACCCCATCGGAGATATCAACATACAAAACAGCACTTTGAGTGGGTGAGTGAGTTTGGGTGGGTGAATGAGTGAGTGAGTGAGTGGGTGGGTGAGTGAGTGAGTGAGTGAGTGAGTGAGTGAGTGAGTGAGTGTGTGAGTGAGTGTGTGAGTGAGTGAGTGAGTGAGTGAGTGAGTGAGTGAGTGAGTGAGTGAGTGAGTGTGTGAGTGTGTGTGTGAGTGAGTGTGTGTGTGTTTGAGTGGGCGGGTGAGTGAGCGAGTGACTGAGTGAGTGTTTAATGGATCAGATGAGGTGGGAAACAGAGACAAAAACAGCCTCAGGTAGGAAATTGAAATGAACGTGGCACCTGCTGGTTGAATTCACACTAAGAAATGTAATCAGGATATGAAGCTGCAGGTATGAAAAAAGGGATGGGAACGGGAGCGGCTGCTGACTCCATCCTAGTCACGACTAACACGTGTTTCCTTATAACATAGAACGCGCCATATAAAAACTGCTGAAATCTTCTGTATAATGCAGTTACAAACGAGCAGACACTGTTTATGATGGGTGCCGGAAATCTGTTTCCACATTAACGTGTCATCGGGAAAGAAAAAGCCCAGAAGTGTTCTAAACCAAATACGTTTCATATCTAACAGTCCTATATCAGTTAGCATGTGAAAGGTGAGGGGCAACACGAACGCTACCTCTAGTTATTTTATCATATGTTTGATTTTTAATTGAACATACGATAACTTTTGGTGTGTCCAAACCTGAAATGTACAGGTGGTTAGTAAGCTCTAAAAGAGTGAGTGAGTGAGTTTAGTTTTACGCCGCTTTTAGCAATATTCCAGCAATATCACGGCGGGGAGTGAGTGAGTGAGTTAAAGTTTAAAGTCACTTTGGCAATATTTCAGCCATATCGTGACTAAAACAACATATATATTAACAATAATTAAAGATAGATTATAAACTCCTGTCAACGAAGGACAGTAAAACAACTAGAATATCACAGATATAAATGTAAAACTAGTAATTAAATCTAAAACATTTTAACAATAGAGGACAACACAATATAAAACGGGCTATAGATCGATAACAACTGAAGGTAGATCACCATACTAGGGACCATGGGGACTTACAGTACTTTTGCTACCTGCATGGACCCTAGATGGATTTACAACATCCCTTCAGCCGTTGGCGATTGTACAAAATGTTAGCCAAACACGGCGGGGGACACCAGAAATGGGCACAAAAAAGAATGCGCGTACATGGTTATATATTTAAATAGTTTAAAATCGAGAGAAATCGCATTACATACAAAACTGTTGTTGGGTATCGTAGACGCCATATTTTAAAAATCAGTAAGTGTACTTTTTCGGCACAAATTTACAACATTTCAAAGATGGTATGTGTCATGTTGTTTCTCATTCATTTCTTACGACAGTCTCCACTGAACCAATTCAATTTGGCGCAAGATTTCTCAGCCACACGAGAGTTTTTACAATCTGCTGCGGGAATGAGTAATGTTAAAATTAACTCAATGAAATTTAACAACAGCTCTTTCATTTTTCAATCACGTAAAAAACAATCTCGGCATACTTTCTGTTAACCTCATTTAATAATAGTTAAGACCATTGAAAGAGAAAAGGCTTTTTTAGGATGTGATTGTATGAATCATCAGTGGTGTTGACGAGAGGCTGCATGCTGTTTGACGCGGCCCAATCTATGTAGGCCAACACGGTGACGAGAACATTTAAAGAGTGAGTGAGTTTAGTTTTACACCGCTTTTAGCAATATTCCAGCAATATCACGACGAGGGACACCAGAAATAGGCTTCACACATTGTACCCATATGGGGAATCGAACGCGGTTGTTTGGCGTGACAAGCGAATGAATTAACCACTAGGCTACCTCACCGCCCTGAACATTTAAAGAAGCTTTCATATATTTTCAGGACTGACCAGACAAACTATTGTGTCCGATACCCACACAAACCGAGAATGAGCCCAATTAATATATATTGGGAGCCATGAGTGACTCACAAAAGCTTGACAATCGTTCAACTCATTGAAATTATAGTTTGCAAACTAACTGTTCAAATCTGGCAAGAAATACAAACTTCAGAGTGCCACCTTTCATCCATCTTATGTGTAATAGGAGACATTGCTGTCAAAGCATTGTCATGTTTCATGAAAAACGACTTAGATAAAACTTCAGGATATAATATTGTGCATCTACCTACCACCCGATCCTGTGAGTCGGCTCTTACAAGCATGGATTGCTGAAGAACAATTCAAACCTGGATCTCCAAGGGTTCGCAATCAACGGGAAGACTATTAGAATTAGAATATTTAGAAACCGCAGCTGTACATAATACTCTAAATTAAACAGGTGAGAAAAACTACAGCTGTCAAGCTTCCAACAAAGAAACAATATCTGCGAAATTTTAGTGATAAGAGAAATGAATTGTTTTGGAATACTTCACCGCCAGCGTGTTGATCACGATTCATTGATAACATGATATTTCAGATCAATTCAAAATAACCAAAAAGGTGATATTGCTTCATGGAGATCGCTGATTCCCTGGCAACTGTCTCAGTGGAAATGTCATCTGGAAAACTGCCACACACACATGGAGTGAGTGAGTGAGTTATGTTTTACGCCGCTTTTAGCAATATTCCAGCAATATCACGGCGGGGGACACCAGAAATGGGCTTCACACATTGTACCCATGTGGGGAATCGAACCCGAGTCTTTGGCGTGACGAGCGAACGCTTTAACCACTAGGCTACCCAACCGCCCACACACTGGTGGAAATAGTTGTACTTGTAATGTACACCTCTACATGTATATTGCATACAATGGCAAAAAGAGCTGCACTTGTACGTAAATGTACACCTCTACATGTATATTGCATACAGTTGGGAAAAGAGTTGTACTAGTGACATACACGTGGCACTGTATGCTGCATATATGCCAGCCAAAACAGTTGTACTGGTGAAAAGTTCAAACTATAACATAACGTCCACACACCTATTTTCGCCAAGCTTTTAATTCAATTACATCAGAGGCAGGATACGTTTCAACAATACGTCAATATCCGTTCAAGCCAAATTAACAGGCATCGTAATCAATGGACAAAGCTGATTGCTGTATACACCTGTACATGAACTGGTTTCAAT